GGCATGGGCGGGGGCCCTGGCTGATGCTGCAGGGTCCAGGGGGCGGGCTTGTACCCTGGGCTGTCCGGCTGGGTGCTGCGCGGGTCCCCAGAGCCAGCCACATTGCAGCAGGGCTGTGCATGGGCAGGGGAGGGGGCAGTGCCAGGCATGGGCCCTTGTCTGATGAGCTGCCCGTGCCTTTGGCTGGCAGGAGGGGGACACGCCCATTCACGACGCCATCCGGCTGGGCCGCTTCAAGGCTGTGAAGACCCTGCTGATGTATGGTGCCAACCTCAGCGTCCGGAACCAGGTGGGCACGATGTGGGGCTCCCCCAGGGGCAGCTCGGGAGGGCAGGGGCTGCTCCCCCTTTCCAGCCAGGGGGCTTGCACCCAATGGTACAAGACATCCAACCCCAGGGGCTTGGACTCCTGGGTTATATGCCAGCTCTGGGAGGGGAGTGGGGGCTAGTCAGTTGCAATGGGGGGGGCGGGGCTGGGAGCCCGGACTCCTGGGTTCTATCCCAGCTCTGGGAGGGGATTGGGGGCTAGTCAGTTGCAGTGGGGGGCTGGGAGCCTGGACTCCTGGGTTCTATCCTAGCTCTGGGACCGTGGCCAGGAGCTCGTGGTCAGATATGGGACGAGTGTTGTGAGCCCTGCTCAAGCCCCTCGGCCCGGTTGTTCCTGCTCCCACTGGAGTCTTGGCTGATTGCAGGAGCCCCTGGGGAGAGCTCCCCACATGCTGCCCCCAGCCCTGCCCTGCCCAGTGGGCTCTGCCCCCTCCCTGGACTGCTTGTGTAGAGTGCGCGCTGGCTCCGCGGGGGCCGTCCTGGCCTAGTGCCAGGGAAGGGGCTCGTGCCCAGCGGCAGCCTAACGGTGTCTGCTCCCCGCAGGAGGCCCTGCGACCCGTGGACCTGGTGAAGGACTGGCAGAGGGGCATCCGGCAAACCTTGCAGGCGTGTGCCAACCAGCAGCGCCCCCCTCGGCTGCACTGACGCAGCAGGACCAGCATTCAATCCCCTCCCCCGCCACTGACCACTGGGGGGTCTGGGCCCCACCCTGAGCCACCCCAGTGCCCTCTGCAGGCCGTGCTCATCCCTACACGGCTCCCATGCCCGGCCAGGGGATAGGGCCACCCGTCTTTGGAGGGCTCGTGGGGGGGGGGGGTGAGGTTTGACCCAGATGCTCCCCTATTCCCGGTTGTATGGGGATGTGTCCCTTTCCCTGGAGCTGCCCCTTGGCCAGGTGAGGCCCTTGCCATTCCTTGGGGAAAGTGAGGCATGGAGGGGCTAAGACTTGCCCATGGCCACACAGCCGGTTAGTGGGAGAGCTGGAGATGAACCCAGGAGTCCTGCTGGTTCGCCGAGGCACCATCTCCCCATGGCCTGCACCACAAGGAGAGGAACTGCCCCAGGGGTCTGAGCAGACCCCCTCCCCCTTCTGGGCCCTGGCCCCCTCCCCCTTCTGGGCAGGCGAGCCCTGCGGCCTTCCTGAGGTCGTGCTGGAGGGAACGCTGCTGCCCCCCTAGGGGTAGGCACCTGCTGCACCCCAGGGTGAGCTGGGGGGGGGGGGGCTTACTGCAGGGAGAGGCTGAGCCGGCCCTGGGGTAGAACATGGGGCAGCAGGGCAGAGCAGGGCCCAGGCTAGTGCAGGTTCCTGGCTGAGGGAGGCAGGTGGCTTGCCTGGCCTGGCCTGGGCCGTCTCACCTTCAGTCTGTGCCCTGGGCCAGCTTCTGGCCATGGCTGCCCCCTAAGAGTGTGCAGGCCTGGCCCCCAACCCTCTGGCTGGCAGGGCCTGGTGCCTGAGGGGCTCCTGCTGCTGCTCCCCCCTAGCCCCTCACCTCTGCCCATGGCCAAGGGGGCAGCTGCACCCAGCCTCCTGTCGCTGTGAGGGCAGCCCCTGCCTTACCCTTGGCCCCCAGCAGCCTGGCTGTGCCAGCCCCCAGCCACGCGTGTCCCCTGGGCTCAGGCTCCAGGCAGTGGGTAACAGCAGCAGGGTAGGACATGGCTAACAGCTGGGGTGTGAGGGAGCAGTGCCCTCTCACAGCCTGGCACAGGACAGGCACGGTCCCCTCCGTTCCCCCAGCCCCTGGGAGCGCTGCTGGCCCGGGAGGAGCCGAGCTGGTTGAGACGCCTGTGGGGGATATGGAGGCTAGAGCCCAAGGAACATGGGACCCTCCCCAGTCAATTAGTCTGGAGCCAGCCAGCACCCACCGGCAGCACACCAAGTCTGCCCTGACCCCAGCATGGTCCTGGCCCTTCCCCAAGCCCTAGGGGGAAGGTGCCCAGGTTGAGAGGGAGATAGTCCTGCTTCTCTGCTGCTGGCCTTGGGTGAGTCCTGTCCCCTGCCTCAGTTTCCCTATATGTAAAATGGGGCTAACCGTGAATGGAGCCAGCTTCTGGGTTCATGCCCAGCCCGTTGGGCAGCTCTCGGAGCCGCAGGCTGCCACCTCAGCACTGCAGGTCAGGCTGAGACCACGTGGGTTGCAATGGACATATTTAATGTGCCCAGGAAGCTGCTGCAGCATGGCCCCTGTGCCCCCTCTTACACATGCTGGCACAGGCAGCACTTCTCCCCCGCCAGAACTGGTACCTGGGTGCTAATGGAGCTGGATGGACCCATGCTCTGGGGCAGCTGGCCTAGGAGGGTGCCTGCAACGCTGGCGTAGCGCAGAAAGCAGCGTGGGCTTGGTACAGAGCTGCCCTCCCCCCCCTCGGCCTGGCACCAGTGCCCTTTGAACGCTGGGCTTAGCAGGGCCCCCGGCAGGTAGAGGCTCTAGCTCCCTGCTGGGAGGGTAAGGAACCCTGTGCCCAGGGCTGGGGGGTGAGGTTAGAGGAGACGCTCCCTGCACCCCTGCCACGGCTCCTGCCTAGGACTACAGCTCCCTGTGCCAGTCACTGCCTGGAGCGGCCCCACCTGTGCCCCAATACTGCTGGGATGGGCACAGGCCAGAGCAGGCACAAGTGCACAAGGCGGCAGCAGGTACAGCTGGGGATCTGCCCTAGCCGCAGCCCCCAGCTCTCTGCAGAGCGGGCTCCAGGCCTGCGGGTACCCGGCCCCCAGGCGAGTGAATAAAGCTCCGTTCCAAGCAGCAGCAGTGCCATGTTCTGTGCCCGCCCTTGCTACGCAGGCGCCGTGCCAGGGCAACAGAGGGGTGTGAGCGCTGGCCTCCTGGCTGTGCTATGTGGGGCAGACAGGGGGGCTGGATAACAGCTTGGTTGGATCACGCCAGGTATTTTAGGAAGAAGGCAGCTTAGCAGGGGGAGGGGCACCTGGCTCACAGCCCCTCCCTTTTCCACACACTGCACCTGTCTCCCCCATCACTGCAGGGCAGCACTGCATGAACTGTGCCAGCAAGCGGCCCCCGCCCTCTCCAGCAGCATCTCCCCGCTCAGCCCAGTCTGCGCACCTCCTTTCACTGCAGGCAGCTGTGCAGGTTTCAGAGGGAGGGGGCCAGCACTGGGGAGGGTAAGTGACTAGCCTGGGCCCTGGAATGGGTGTTTCCTGTCCTGTGCCAGAGGGGGATGGGTCTGCTCATGGGGGTTAACCCAGGGCAGCATCGGGGGCGGGTGCCCCTTGCAGGAAGCCCCGTCTCAGGCTGCAGGAGCCTTCACAGAAAACCTTTTCCTCTAGCCGAGACGTGACAGGTGTGCAGGCCTGGCCCCCAACCCCCTGGCTGGCAGAGCCCGGTCCTTCCCTGTACTGGTGCCTGAGGGGCTCCGGGGGGGGGGGACTCCTCACCCAAGAGGTGCCTGCAGCCCCACCCCCCCCATTTCCACCCCACTTAACGGCAGCACCTACCTCGTGCAGTAAGATCCAGCCTGGGCCCCTCCCCGCTTGGCGGCCTGTCAATGCCCCCTCCCCACGCCGCGCAGAGGCCATGGGAAAGGGACAGACAGGCGTGGATACAACAGGGCAGATTACAACTCCTTTACCTGCACGCCCCCGGCTCTTCGCCAGGCTCTGCTGTTCTGGGGCCAGGCGCTGCTCTCCCACCCAGCGCCTTGAAAACACGGGTAGTAGAGAGGAGCAAACAAGGCAGGTGTCCAGCCCAGCGGCCCTGTGTCCATGTCAGACCTTTAGCCCTGTGGCAGCCGTGAGCTCTCCGGGGCCTGTGGCCAGGCAACGTGTCCGAGGGGTGGGGAATCTCCGTCCATTGGGCTGCTCAATGCAGTCTGCAATCACGGCACTGTGTGCCTGGGGCCCCTGTGATCTCTCATCCTCGGGGGGAGGGGAGGACAGGGCTGCAAGGACTGTGCCCCCCAGCAATCAACCCCGCTGACTGACGGGCAGCCCCACCGGGCCCACTTGTGAAGACTGGCTCAGGTTGCAGAGCCTGGGGCAAGGGCAGCACCCCCAGTGCCTCGGGAAGAGACAGCCAGGGGTGCAGGGGCAGAGCCTAGCCTCCCATGTGGGCTCTCTGCTGGCAGCCGCTGGAAGGGGCTGGCGGTGATGGGCCCTGGCTTAGGAGGGCAGGGATGGGGTGACACCCAGCGCTCCACGGGAAGGGAAGCCTAGACAGGTAACTGGCCATACAGCTCTGCCCTGGGGCAGGCCGAGGCAGCCCAGCATGGCTCCTGGAGCAGAGCTGGCTTGGCGGGCTCAGGGGAATGGCCCAGGCTGACACTGGCAGAGGAGGGATAGCCCAGGGCAGCCTGGCAGAGAACACACCAAGGAGAGGAATGCCTAGTCCAGGCACATACAGAGGGCACCCTATGGAGGAACCAGCCCACAACCCGCCACCAGCAGCTCTCCTGCAGCCTCCACCCAGCTCGCCAGGTGCCCCCAGCAGCCAGCGGGTCTGGTTCGATCTGGGCGCTGCTCCCTGCCGGCACAGGTGCTGATGCTGCCCGGGGCTCCAGCCACCGAGGGGGGATCGGGTCATTCTCCCGTGGACTGGAATCCAGCTCTGGCTGCCCTGGCAGTTGGTCCTGATGCAGCGAGATCCTCTGGAGCAGAGTCCAAGTGGCTGGCATCCTTTGGGGCAGCCCCTTCAGGCAGCACGGGGTGTGTGTGTGTGTGCGCGCGCGCGCACGGAGGGCATCTGGGGCATCCCACCCCATGAGATTTCTGCTGCTGTCAGGCGAGTCCCCAGGGCCCGACTCCCAGCCAAGAGGCGGCTAGGACAGCCGGGAGGATGGCGCCAGCTCCCACGCTGCCGTCAGCAGGTCCTGCGGGGGGAGGGGTTAGATGCCCGTGTGCTCCTCTTCCCCAAGGGGCTGGCTGCTTTTTCCTGGTACCAGAGCAGAGAGAATGGCCATTACACGCCCATTCGGCCCCAGGAGGTGGGTGGGGGGCTTCCAAGGATGGTGCCCCAGGGCACAACCCTGCCATGGCCCAGCCAGCGTTTTCCATCTCTAGGACCCACAGATCCCAAAGGCACTTGCACAGATGGAGAAACTGAGGCAGGGGGAAGGGCAGGGACTTGCCTAAGGTCACCCCCAGGCCAGTGGCAGAGCTGGGGCTAGATCCAGGTCTCAGCCCAGCAGGCCACGCTGCCTGCTGCAAGGCTGGGCCCAGGAGCTCCCGCCAGCAGTCAGTGGAACCAGGGAGATGCTTCAGCCCAACCCCCTGCCCCCATCACACCGGCACCTCTGGCCACCCAGGGCCGGAGCTCGGGCTCTGCTGCAGAGCTGCAGTGCCGTGACCTGGGCTAATTACCCTCTGGACACTGACCCATCACCCAGCGACGGGGTCCCGTTCACCAGCCCGAGCAGGAAACAAGCCCTGAGCTGGGGGCTGTGGCTCACTGGCTGAGCCAAAGGGAAGGCCCCTCCCACTGCCTGGGGGAACTGCTCGGCACCCCGGCTGCAGGGGGCGCCACTGGGATGGTGCATGAGCATCCGGCAGCGACAGAGGCTAGTCTGGCTCCTTACCAGGGAGGCCAAGCCTGCTCTGGTCTCCCTCGGACCTGTTCCACATGGTTGCCCGTGGCCATTCTTCCCAACCACCCGCTGAGGTGGTACCGGCAGACTCCCACGGCCCCTCTCCTGAGAGAAGGCAGCACCAAGCTCCGCCCTACCCCCGTCCTGCCGCACACGGGGACCAAGAGCTCCAGAAATGAGACAGTGACTGTTGGGCAGGCCTGGAGCCCAGCAGCCTGGAGCTGCAGCCAGTGACTTGTGATGGCGGCACCGGGTTTCAGAGCCTCCCTAAAGGCCTTGGGGAAGAGACATGGCTACGGGGGGTGGGGGGCACCCAGAAGGACTAGGATGGAGACAGCCAGGCCCCTGCACCGGTCACAGCTCCCAGAGCAGATCAAACCCCCCCCCCCCCACTGAGCACCTTGGGCAGAGCAGGGAGCGCAGACCCTGAGAATCCTGCTGTACCAAGTGGACGAAGGCTCAGATATTTACCTCCTGCCCATCAGTAACCCCATGGATCCCGCAGAACCCGCTATCAACTGCAGAGCTCAGCTGTGCCCAAGAGAGAGTGCATGGCCGGACAGAGCGCGCGAGAGAGACACTCAGCTGCTGAAAACGAGGGAAGAGAGTGAAATACACGTGACAAGCAGGCGGGGTGATCGGCCTGGCTGGGGGGGTGCCCGCCAGCGCATGCTCCCAGCGGCTGCCAAGCAACCCTCAGCTGCTTACTGTGGAGAACAGCAGAGATGGGGAACGCCTGCTGAGGGGGCTGGGAGAGGCCGGGGTCCCCAGGTCACTGCAGGGGTGCTGGACAGGGAGAGGCGAGATGAGGCTGGGCAACATTGGGCCATTCCAGGGGACGCTGGAGATGGGCGCTGACTCCAGACAGCCCCATCCTCAGCCCTACAGACCTTCCATCTCCCTCAGCGTGCTGCCTTCCAGCTGGGTCAGAGAATGAGCCCAGCCAGCCTAGACCAGGCCTGGGTCCAGCCAGTGCTCTGGTGGGGACTGGTACCAGCTGCTTCACAGGCAGGTGCAAGAATCCCCCTGCGGGCAATTCTGGAGTCACCTGCCCTGGGGAAGTTCCTTCCTGACCCCTTCCGTCACGCCCTGCAGCATGAGGGTTCGTAGCTAGGGGAGGGGCCCAGCTTACAGGCCTCCTTGTCTTCTAACACAGAGACACGCAGCCGGTCAGTGTGTGAGAGAAAAGCTGGCCGAGACGCCAGGCACAGCCACTGGGCAGCAGCGAAGGGGTTAAAGACAGATGTGCGCATGCAGCAGCAGGGGACAGCAAGCAGGGAGAGAATGGAGGGGTGGGTGCAGGCAGCCCCCAGCCCTGGGGAGCCAGCCAGCTGGGCTCAGATCCCAGCGAGTCCTCACGCAGCAGCCAGGATGGGCTCTGGGAGCCCTGGAGCTGGCCACAGCCTGCCCAGCCCGTCCGCGCTGGGCACATGGAGGCCTGGAGTGTGCCCACTCGAGCAGCCCCCAGGGTGCTGTGCTTTGGGCCGCTCCAGTGAACGGCAGCTATGTGGACCCCCAGTGGCACATGGCAGCCTCGGGAAGCGTGTTCGCACAGCGCCCCCTGTGCCCCCAGCACCTGGCACAGCGTTCCTGTCGTCCAGGAGCTTCGTCTGGCTGTTGGGGACGATCTTCAGCTCCAGGCTGTCGGGCGACTGGGGGGACGGCTGTATCCTGGAGGCCATGAGGGCGTTGAGGTACTGCAGCCGGGTCACCTGGGGAGAGGCGAGCCAGAGCCCTGAGCACTCCCTTTTCCTGGCAGGGGCCCGGGTTCCAGCCCCAGGGATGGTGCCCACCCAAGGCCAGGCTGGACGGGCGCAGCGGCTGCATGGGAAAGCGAGTGAGACCCAGAGGGGCGTGTGATCCCTGAGAAAAGGGGACCAGAGCAGGGATAGGGCAAAGCACCCCCAGGTGTCCCCAGAGGTGGGGTCTCCCAGCCAGGGAGGTGGCAGCAGAGCGCAATCACAAGGGGGCAGAGGCTGCCCCAAAGCGCAGTGCCACCAGGGACACCCCAGGGCCTGGCTCTCCTTCGGGCACAGGGGACATGGCCAGAGGCCCAGGGAACTGCTGAGCACCAGCAGAGTCGTTTCACTTGTGGCATGCTCTGAATCTGAACCCAGTTGGTCCCAGGAGAGAGTCAGCGCTGGAACCCTAGGAGGAAGTAGCAGTCCCTCCCCGCTGCCCGGCTGGCTGCTCCTTCCCGAGGGCAGGGTGGGGCTGCCCCCCATTCACACTGCGCAGCCCCTTGCCCCTCCAAGCCCAGCAGCGAGAGCACAGTGGGACGTGTCTGTAGGGCCCATAAAAACATGGGGTTAGGCCTGGCTGCTCCCAGCCCAGCTGAAGCTGTGGAGTTGTTGTACCTTGATGAACTGCAGGTCGGTGAGCGCCCGGACGGTGTAGTCGGGGCAGTACGTGGAATAGGAGGTGCCCTCGCTGCAGTCCAGAGGTTGCTCACGCCGGTTCGGCCGCAGGGTGGACACTGGCGATTGGTGAACTGTTGGGAGGCAGAAATCAGAGGCCAGCTGAGAGCCCAACACCCCAACTGCTAATTGGGAAGGACCCTGGTCTCCAGGTCTCCCCGCTCATGGCCTATGGGCGCACAGCCAGGCTCATCCCCCTTCCTGCTCCCAGCCAGCCAGCGAGGGCCAGCCTGGGACCCCCCAGCCAGGCCAGGAGCCGTGCAGAACTCGGGGCCTGGACTCCCCACAGCAACGGGCTCCCAGGGGCGGTTCACACCCATGGCCAGGCCCTGCTGCCCGTGGCAGGACGCAGGTGCTCACCTGAGGAGGGCGCCATCAGCGCCGAGACACCGTAGTACGTGAACGCTCCATTCTCGAATTTCAGCCCCTCCTTCCCGATCTCCACTTCCACCCTGCCCTGCGGAGGAGAGGGCCACGGGTCACGGTCAGCAGCTGGCCTGCTGCTCGGCAAGGCTCCTCCCCCAGCCCCAGCCCAGCGGGCAGAGACTCCCCCCCCGCTGCTGCATTCGCTGGTCACAGGGAGGGCAGCCAGGCCAGGTGCCCTCCTGGCTCTCTGCCAATACCTGCTGCCGAGCTGGCCCCGCCCCTCAGCCTGCCTCCCAAGATCCAACCCGCAGCCTGGCTCCCCGCTCTCTAGGCATGCAGCAGAGCAGCCAGACATGGGCCCTGTTGTGCAGGGTGCTGCCCGGTCCGGTGAAAATGCAGAGCTCAGATCATGCGGGAGGGGAAGAGGCGCAGAGGAGGACAGGGACGTGCCTGAGGTCACTCCGCAGAGCACAGCCAGGGACAGAATCCAGCCCAGTGCCCTGCCAGCTGGCTGCCTCCTCTCCCGCACCAGGCCTAGCGGATCTCGGGGGGGGGGGGGGGGAGGAGGTGGCGGGGGAGAAATCGGGGCAGGCCAGTACCTGCAGGACCAGGACGAAGTAGTTGACGGGCTGGTTGCGCTGGTACAGGTAGTGCTCGGGCGCCAGGCGGTCACTCTCATTGAACTTCACTTCCTGGTTGACGCTGGGGTGCTTCAGCAGGTGCAGCAGGACCTTCTCGGAGATGCGGGCCGGGCTGAACAGATCCACCTCTGGTGGGGAGTGAGGGGCAGAGAACCCAGCCTGAGCCGCTGGCTCCAGGGACGGGGCGCTGCAGGGAGCTTGGGGGGTGCTCCCCAGCTGCTCCCCCTGCCCCGAGCCCAGGGGACTGACTGCACTGTGTGTAACAGGCTTAGACTGACCGGTCTGCAGGGAAGGTAAGCCAGGGCTGTCCCACAGGCAGGGGGAGCCCAGTGATCAGCTGGGCTCGCTGGCTGTGGAGCCAGGCGGGTGGCATAGGGAGGGCTGGGCGGCTGGCAGCTGGCTCCCTGCCCCGACTCACCTCGGGATAGGAAGCGCTGCGTGGCCAGCAAGAGCTGCGGGGAGATCTTCACCTTGTGCTCGTTGTCAGAGCCCTTGAACAAGGAGAAATCTTCCTTCCTGTGCTCCAGCAGGGTGCCCATGGGGGCCGGCCTCTTCCGCACCTTGTTCTCCTCTAGGGCATGAGAGAAGGGGAGAGGCCAGGCGGAGCCAGAGTCACATCAGCCGGCAGCATAAACCTGGTCCCCGGGGTCTGGGGCCAGAGAGTCAACCCCAGAGCAGCTGCAGGCTGGCGATCCCAAAGCACAGTGCAAAGGGACCTCAGCACCCCCCACCGTACACAGGGAAACCGAGGCGCAGGGCAGGGACTTGCTTCAAGTCACGCAGGAAACAGCGACAGAGCTGGGAATACAGCACTGGCCAGTGCTCCCACTAAATGCTAGAGCCCACGCCTTTCCCATAGCTGGGACCGGACCTCGGGTGACCCAGGATTCCAGCCCCGGACAAAACTGCCCTCCTGAGGAAGAGCTTGGGAGCGGTCCTGGGGGAATTCGCATGCTGCTTCCAGCCTGGCTTGGGTGGGGAGGGAAGGGGCTGGGGGAGACGGGCACGGAGCTGCCTGCACAGAACAATGCGCCCGCAGCGCTGCCCGCCTGCCACAGCTGTCCCCGGGGGCTCTGCTGGCCCCCTAGACCGAGCAAAGCTGCGGGGCGCGCCGGGCGGGGCTCACTCACTGTAGTCGTCCGACTCGTCCAGGATCTCCGACCTGATGATCTCCTCGATGACGTCCTCCAGCGTCACCAGCCCCATGGCCTCGTAGAAGGGATCGCCCTCTCCCTCGTTGTTCACCTTCTGCACAATGGCCAGGTGCGATTTGCCTGGGGGACGGGTGACACAGCTTGCTACAGGCACCAGGGAGGCCTCGGGGTGGGGGGGAGAGGACACAGAGGTTCAAGGCTACCCAGCAAGTCAGGAAGAGAACCCAGGAGTTGCTCTGACCACTAGAGAACTCTGCCTCACAGCCCTGATGCAGCTTTTTAAAAATAACTACGGAGCAGCAGAGAGGAAGGTGGGGAAGGGGGCAGAGCAAGGGGCTAGGCAGTATCCCCCTTCTCCTGCCCCCCAGCACTCTCTGTCCCCCCACTCCAGCAGCAGCAAAGACGGCCAAGGGAGAGATTTACCTCAGGGGTCCCGTTCGAAGCAGGGCCTTCCCTCGCCCGGCTGTGCACAGGCCAGGCACCACAGTACGCTCCGGGGAGCGGAGAGGGCTGCTTGGGATACTTGTTCTTGGGGTTTTGGGAGCCCTCAGGTGGCTGGTACCCAGCCCTGTTTCCTTCCCATTCTCCGACTACGGGACTCACAGATTCCAACAGAAGGGATGCGGGGGTCCAACTGGCAACCTGCGGGCCAGATCCGGCCCTCAGGACCATTCTGTCTGGCTGCGCACCATTTTGCAATACCAAACGGCACCCTCCATGCAGGGCGAGTTTGTGTGCACCGTATGGGCGAGGTCATCACATGGAGGACACCTTTTGGGTTGTGTATGTTGCCTTCAGAGGTGTCACACAACTACGTATACTGCCCCCATCACTGAACCAGCTGGTCTTCTGCACAGCCCCAGCCAGAGAACTGCCCCACGATAAGTCCTAGAAGTGAGCGTTTAGAGGCTTGATTTGAAAATGGTCAGGGATGGAGAATCCGTCACGGTCCAGGGTGAATTGTTCCACTGGGTAATGACACTCCCTGTTACAAATGGGGACCTTCTTTCCAGTCAGGATTTGTCGCGCTTCAACTTCCAGCCATTGGATCGTGTGAGACCTTCCTCTGCCAGACTGCAGAGCCCGGTATGAAATCTTTGTTCCCCACGTAGGTACTGACAGGCTGGGATCAAGTCTCTTTGTTAAACTAAATCAATTAAGATCCTTGAGTCTCTCACTCTCAGGCAGGTTTTCTCATTTTTTAATCATTCTCGTGGCTCTTCTCTGCCCTCCTCTCCAATTTATCAACACCTCTCCTGAATTGTGGGCACCAGAACTGGACAGAGGGTCCCAGCAGTGGTCACACCAGGGCCAGATACAGAGGGAAAATCCCCTCTCTGCTGGAGATTCCCGTTTACACATCCCAGGATCGCATTAGCGCTTTGGCCACCGTGTCGCACAGGCTGCTCGTGTTTAGCTAATTAACCCCCATATCTTTTCCAGAGTCACTTTGCCCCAAGAGAGTCCCCCATCCTGAAAACCCAGCCTGCGGTCATTGCTCCCAGCTGTATTCAAACACACTCTGTTTGCGCGCCCAGTTTACCATGCAAACCAGGTCTCTCTCGATCAGTGACTCGTCTTCTTCACTATTTACCACTCTCCCAATTTTGGGTCATCTGCGAACTTGATCAGGGATGATTTTATGTTTTCTCCCACGTCACTGATACAAATATTAAATAGCACAGGGTCAAGAACCGATCCCTGCGGGCCCCCTCTACAAACACACCCATCCAATAAGGCTTTCCTGTTTACAGTTACACTGAGAGCCCCACTGACCGCACCCCCCTAGATGTCACCTACCACCCCACATTGGAACCCCCATGGGGTATCATCGAACAATTACAACCCATACTCAACAGGGACCTCATCCTGAAATAAATCTTTCCCAAACCCTCCTCTTCTGGCCTTCAACAATCCCCAGTCTTGTCAAGCTCATCATCAGAAATAAGCTCCCCACAGACCAGGACCCACCAACTCAAAGCGGCACCAGAGCCTGTCAGAACAACCAATGCAAAACCTGCAGACACATCTCCACTGCTACAATGATCAACACCCCCCAAAACACACCAGTCAAGATCCATGGGTCCTACGCAGGCCTGTCACAGCATGTGGGTACCTCTGCCAGTGCAGTAAATGCCCCAACAACTGTGTGGGTGAAACCAGACAATCACTGCGCTCTCCAATGAGCTCACCCAGGAACATGGTAAAAGACAAAAACACCCCAGCACCTGTGGGTGAACACACTTCACAAAGCGATCAGCCTGCATCCCACCTGTCAGGTCCTTGTCTTAGAATCATAGAATAGCAGGGTTGGAAGGGACCTCAGGAGGTATCTAGTCCAACCCCCTGCACAAAGCAGGACCAATCCCCAGACAGATTTTTGCCCCTAGATCCCTAAATGACCCCCTCAAGGACTGAACTCACAACGCTGGGTTTAGCAGGCCAATGCTCAAACCACTGAGCTATTCCCCCATCTTCAAAGGAAACCTGCACAACACCTTCAAAAGACAAGCCAGGGACCGTAAATTCCTAACTTTGCTAGACACTAGAAACCATGGACTCAGCGGAGATCCTAGGTTTCTGTCTCATTCCAACAATCTGTAACCCACTAGCCCTCCGCTGTCCCATGACTGCAGAGCTGTTAACTGCCCACTTCACCTTGAACGTCTCTTCCAACATGACAGGTGTAACTCATTACACATAACAACCCCTTCCACCTGGTGTGTAGCTGGGACACCGAGGCCCTTTCCAAGCCCTGAAGAGCTCTGTGGAGCTGGAAGCTCCTCTCTCACCCACAGAAGTGGGTCCAGTGAAAGAGATTACCTCATCCACTGTGTCTCTCTCATTTTGAGACCTATCAGCTTTTAATTCATTTAACATGTGCCAGGTTAACTATATGACCTTCCAGTTTTTAATCAGCAATGCCGTGCTGTACTAATTCAAATGCCCGACAGAAGCACTGTTACCTTTATCAACCAACCTTGTCATCTCATCCAAAAGGCTATCAGGTTAGTTTGACAGGATGGATTTTCCATAAGCCCATGTTAATTGGCCTTAATTACATCACCCTCCTTTAATTCTTTATTAATCGAGTCTTGGATCAGCCACTCCATTACCTTGCACAGGATCGGTGTCGGACGGACAGGCCCGTGATCGCCTCGGTCATCCAGTTTACCCTATTTAAATACTGGCACAACATTCGCTTTCCTCAAGCCTTCTAGAACTTCCCTAGTGCTCCAAGAGTTAATGAAAATCAATTTTAAAGGTCCAGGGAGCTCCTATGCCAGCTCTTTTCAAACTCTTGGATGCAAGTTATCTGGACCCTACTTCCCCAAAGGCATCGCCGCAGTGTCCCCTGGGCATCACAGCTGCTTCAGGCTGGTGACACCATGCAGGCTCCACATGCAGCAGAGTCAGGCGCTGGCCAGAGCGCGCTCAGCAGGTAGGCCGAGGTCAGTTGGTCTCTTGCTGCCAATCCCACGTCTCCGGTCTGGGAGGGCTGGTTTTATTGCAGTACAATGGCGCAACAGAAATGCTCTGAGCTCCTATCACACTTCTAAGGCGCTCAGAGCACTTAGTGACATGCATCCCTATTGTCGCCCACACTCTACGGAAGGGGAACAGAGGCAGAGAAGGAGGGAAGTGACTTGACCAACGTCACGACGTAAGTCAGTAGCAGAGCTGGGAACAGAAGCCAGGAGTCCTGACTGCCAGCCCCCAGCCCCACTTCCCTCCCAGAGCTAACAACAGAACCCAGGAGTGCTGACTGCCCGTGTGACAAAGTGGGACTGTTCTTAATGTTTCATCTGAATACTGTGCGTGTGCCTCAGTTTCCCCTATGCATTTCTTAAGTCTCCAATATGCATAAATGGCCGACACGCTGTATCCTGGCAACAAATGGCCACAGCCCTTCGCCCCTGCAAGGGAATAGCTAAAGGTGAACAAAGAGATCAGGTGACCTCCTGGCTGGAGAAAGAGACAAAGGCCAGAAAGGAGGGGCTGGAGGGGGTTTAAGTTTGGAGCTGGCTGGGGACTACGAGTGAGGGCAGACGGGGTTGTCTGGCTCGCTGGGCCCCAGAATGGACCCGGCTGAGGGGTCCCGTTCTCTGTACCTACAAGCTCTGCTTTAGACCGTGTTCCTGTCATCTAATAAACCTCTGTTTTACTGCCTGGCTAAGAGTCACGTCTGGCTGTGAAGTGGGGGTGCAGGACCCTCTGGCTTCCCCAGGACCCCGCCTGGGCGGACTCGCTGTGGGAAGCGCACGGAGGGGCATATGCTGAAAGCTCCAAGGAGAGACCCAGGAAGGTGAAGCCGTGTGAGCTTCTTGCCCTGAAGACAGTCTGCTCCAAGGGAGAGGAGGCTCCCCAAAGTCCTGACTGGCTTTGTGGGGAGCAGTTCCAGAGCATTGCCCAGGGACTCCGTGACAGCGCGTGCTCTGGAATCAGCAGAAATCAGTCGGGATTGGGCACAGGAGCACTTTTGGTTCACACCTGCTGCCAGCCAGCCAGGACATACCTGAGGATGGGGGAAGGGGAGTGGCACGCTGGAAGCGGCATGGCAGGAGAAGCCGCCCAGACGCCCTCCCCCAGGGAGGTGCTACAGCAAAAGAGTGGGCCGCTGGGCACACCAGGCCTGGCATCGCCCCCAGCCCTGCCCATGGGGGTGTGTCTCAGCCGAAGCCTGCGTCACAGGTGTCCCTGCAGGACGTTCCCTGCACTGATCTGTGTCCCCGCTGCACGGGCACACGCGGGGCCCAGATCATGCTCTGCACTGGCGTCTCCCTGAGCTGTTCTTGTGCACACTGGGTTTCAACTCGGGCTGTCTGAGCTCAGCAAACAAACAGGATGTTCTCTTCCCTGCCAGCACCTCCAGGGCTCAGGTGAGCGGCTCTGACCGCTGCAGCCTTGTGTCCGATCTGTAGGCCCTTGGCTAGCTGTTCCCAGGGATCTGGCCATGCACGTTTGCTGGGGAGGCCACCTGGGAAGGCTTCGCAGGGACCGGCCCTGGATGAACGCCGCACGGACGCTGTGGGTGGGCGGCTACTTCAGAGCTCGCACGTCCTGAGACCCGGACATGACGCAAGCTGGGGGCACAACAATGAGCTGGTTCTGATGGAGGT